AAAAAAAAAAAAAAACGTTTTTAATTATTTTTTTTTTTGCATCTTTATTTGTGTTCTGTTCCTTCCTGCTACTGCTGTTTTCTTTTCGTAGGGTGGCAAGCGGAGGGGAGGAGGAATGATGCAGCTATTGGACTCCCCGCCCATACGAGGGGTGGTTTACCCTCCTTTTTTGCTTCACCCCCCATCCGCCCATCCCCCCGCCAGAGCACGTACCAGCACACACACACACACACACACCGACGTGACTGTTGCCGCGGAGCGTGGCGTGTGCACCACTAGTTGAGGGCACCAATCAGGCGCCGCACCGAAAACGCGTGGCAGAAAAAAACAACCTTACCACACGAGAATGGGAAAAAAGGCACACGATGAGAACAACGCAACTGCAGAAGAACGGCAAAAACAAAAAGGGTTACTGAATGGAAACGAGACGTAAAAATAAAATGTGAAGCCGAAGAAGACATGGCGCCACAATCTCTATCAGCTTCCCACCCTTCATGTGGACATGGAGCATGAGCAGCGAACGCATGCTGAGCAATGCACACTCCAGCACTGCCGAAAAAAAAGAACAGCAGCACTAGTCGTGTGGCGTAAGGGGTCCATGCCGTACCTGCGGGAGAAAAATAGCACGAAAGCGAGAGAGAGAGAGAGAGAAGGGGAGAGGGAAAGGCAGTGAGAAAGAATGAGGGAGCAGCACGCAAAGAACAACAAGTCGGGAAACAGTATGTAAGAAGACGGAACATCAAATCACACGCACAAGAACAAGTAGAAAAAGAGCGCCTGAAATCGCCCTCCTCTCACCTCAATTGTTGGTCGCCTAAATCTGTTTTGTTCTTTTTTTTTCTTTATGTTTGCTTGGCTTCAACTTTTTTTTTGTTTTCTTTTTCTTTTCAAATTTTTCATTTGTTTTCACCTGGTTTGTTTCCTTCATCCTCTCACCCATCGGCTCCTCTCTACCCCTCGCCTCTTGCTGCTGCGCCGCCCACCCCTGCCCGCCGCTGCTGCTGTAGTGGCGGCAAAAAGAAGGTTT